AGTCGGATATGCACTCCATGATTTTTGTACTCAAACATGATTTTTAAGTAATAAACTGAAAAAATAAGAATTCTAGAAAAGAGAAACTAAAATTCTATTTACAATTACTTTATAAAACATTTGGCTAAACTATTTGTTAATATCTCATCGAGAGATACCCCAGATTTTAAAAAATCATATTTTTACATCAATTGCTGAGAAAATGTTAGTTTAACAAATTTAAACGCACGCGCGAGTTGCCGAGCAGTCCGGTCTCCTCCATTTCACTGCACGACGGCTTCACCTACTCGGCACGTTCCTTTGATCCCATTCCTCAATTTTCCAATGGTTTTAAACAAACTTTTAAAAAAGTTTTTAACAACAAATTCAATTCTTTTGACAAATTAATGCCAGACGAAACTTTTAATCTTAAAAATTAGAGCCACAGTGATTTTTTTGAAGAAAAAATTATTATCTCGGCTTCTAATAATTGGAGGTTAACTTTTTTTTTAAATTCATAAAGAAATGTCAGCTGTCGAATGCTTCACACGGCTATTTGATATAATGTATATTAACAGAATTATTTCATTTTTTTAACGAAAAAAGATACCTACTTTTTAAAGTTGTTTTAAAATAGTTTAACTGCAACAAATCGTTTTGTTACTAAGTGTACGATAGTGCAATTGTTGAAGAAGAAAAATTACCCTTGTAAATTGCTATGCGATTGCTTAAAGATGAAGTAATTAAGTTTTTCGCAGACGAGTTTTTAGTGAACAAATGGCTTTTTGCAAAAACTAATGAACATTTCAGGTTCGTTCAGAGCTAGATTTTTTCTTCATTATGAAGGTTACATTTTAAAGCTTTGCGTTTAAATCTCAATAAACAAAGAGCGAATGAAGAAAAGGCCTTTTTTAATGGTTTTTATTTTCTTTCTATTTAACTATAATAGATCGATTTTAATGTTCCACGTTTTATTTTGTAGGTATTTCGAATATCTACATTTTTCATATCGAATACCTACATTTTTTCCATACAATTAATATTTTGTTTTATAAGCGAAAAACAACTTTTTGCAACTATTCAATTTTTTTTCACATATTTCCTCCACAAGTCTCGAATCTCAAACATACACATTTCTTTTCTGATGGTCTTCCGAAGATTTTCATGAACAGAAATACTGGTTTATAATTTTTTTCTGGTAAAATTCTACTTCTATTAAACTATTCTTGCTACTCGAATTTGAAGGAGGTATATAGCGCGCATGAAAAATCGTTAACAATTAAATATCTCATAAACTGTTGTATTATAACATGATTTATACTATTCTGAATTAATGAGAAAGGAAACACTATTACTACAATTTATTAAAACTTATATGTTATTTAGAATGTCCCTCGCCCCTTATTAATGCCGAGTGCCGTCGAACGGAGATTGCCGAGAAAGCATTTTCGATCGCTTAAAACAAGCGACTAAAGCAAGAAGAACGGCTCGCTCACTTTCGGTGCGCCGAAGGCGAGCACACGTACATGGGCTCGTGATTGAGTGTGTGGCTACCAATTTCGCCAGATTGCCGTATAATTCTCTGTCGCCACCATCAACGCAGAATTCTTGGCTGAATACGCGCAGGAGCCTTAAAATTTTATATCATAATCAAATAAATTTAATAATCTGACATCTATCGCGAATTTATATGACAACGAATTACAGCTTAAATTATTTGATGTTTGAAATTTATATTCGTATTCTTTGTTATTCTGTTAATTTAACTATTTTATTAATTGACATATTGAAGATGACCAGATCGTGATCGAAACATTCATGATATTTATATAATTAACGTAAATATATGACTCGTATATATATGACATTCATTAAAAACATCTTGTATTGTGGCTGTATCTTCCTTTTATTTATGTGTTTAAAATTTATTTGATACACAAAAAGAGAGCAATCACCGATGACTTTGACCTTAACATATGTTGTCAAGGTCATAATCCTGAGTAACACCCAATAAGTTTCAGTCAACGCTCGTTCTTTGATAAAAAGTTATTAACAGATAATATTAATAAGTACTCGTATTACTCTGCTTTATATAAAAATTCAAATAACTCAAGGCAGAGAGAGAAGTGGACCGATTAAGGGAATACGACCGCGAAGCGAGTTTTACCCGCTATCTCTGCTTAGAGGTGCACGACTTTCCATGCGAACCGAAGTCAATCTCACAATCAGATAAGAGTTGGGTCAAATTAGTATTAAATCGGGATAGGGATACAGGAGGAGGGGCAGAGTCCTCCCTCGTTCTTATTCGTATTCCTTCTACACAAAATTATTTAGAATAGAATAATTGTTGATCTTGTTTTGTTCTGGAAGTAAAGAGGAGAAGAACAAGACAAGAAGAAAAAAAGAGATCCATCTCATGCCTCCCCCCCCCTCCCCAAGGGACTCAAGACTTTCCAGGCGAAGCGAGTTCTATCCTCATCTCTCTGTTAAGGTGAGAGCCTTCTGCCTAGGAGTGTACAATTTTTTTATACAAAGCGAAATCCACTTCACGTACCTCTCTGCTTATGAGGGTTCAATCTAAGCTCACCCTGCACTTTGTCTAATTTGATTCCCCTGAGGAAAGATGAGGTGAATCTCGCTTTACGTGGAAAGTCGGACGTCATTTGGCAGGGGGAGAGATGAGATGGATCTCGCTTCGCGTGGAAAATCGTAAAATATACAATTTTAAAACAGAGAGCTTCTTATATACACTTGTTAACAAAATTATAGCATAGCTAAATTTATATCAAAATTTTATATAAATTCAAATAAACGTAACTCCGTAGACAATAGTCGCATTTAGAATTTTTTTTTATTTTTAAAGATAAATTCTGTACTTTACAAAGCTTTTATCAAAAATAAGGACATATTTTTATTAAGAAATTTGCATAGTTGCAATCTACAGGGTAGAGTAAATCTTTTTTCGTAAATGTCATGATCACTATCATAGATTATGGACGTTTCTCCGACAAATTAAAAAAATTAAGCTTTGTACGATTTTTTTTGAAAAAATATAGTGTATCAAACTTATCTATGCATTTTATTTAATTTTATAGTCAATATTAGCATTATCCGATGCGCACCACAGGAAGATTGCTGTTCGGATTTTACAAATCTTCCGCCTCTTCAGATGATCTCTTTTAAACGTGCACGCGTATTGATGCAAGTTCTAATTAAAGCCTGAGGAATTTCCCAGCATATTCGATGCAATGGTGTTTCTAGTTACTGCAGATTTGTTGGCGGTTTCTCTAATCTTCGTGGCCTTTTTTTCATCATATCTCGTATATATTCAATGGAATTCAAATCATTAGTGAATGTGGTAGCATCTCAATGTTGTTTTCTATGAGAAAGTTAATTGCAATTCTGGCGGTATGTGGGCGAACGTTATCCTACATCAGGATAAAGCATCAAGATGCTACTGCATTCTCCAATGAGCGCGGATTTGAATCTCATTGAACATGTATCGGTCGGGCGTTGGTGGTTAGACGCTTTGTGCGTTCGACTCGCAACTTACCGTTCCGTTTGAGTTTTACCGGCGCCCTACATAAAGTGTCCTTGTTCCGATAAAGCAAAAGACTATCTAATTACTTGATTATCTCAGGATCATGGATAAGCCAATATATTATTATAGTCTTCGCAGGGAAAAAGCTGATTAGGTTGAAAGCTTGGCGCCCTGCCTCGGGACTAGGCCCGGGGTGGGGTTGCTGAGCGATTCCTGTGAAGCGTCCCCGAGGAGTAGCGCCCCGGCGGTTCCCGAAGCGCTGGCCGATCAGTATCGCGCATATAGGCGACGCAACTGGGCTACGAAGATCCGACGATCGAAATTGATATTGCGGGGACTGGGCAGTTGCCCATGTCCAATTATGGGTAGGACCATCACGGGGGTAGTGGTTGATAGCTACATGTTGGTTAGGGGCTTCTGGTTCCGATCTGGATAAGCTGCGTTACAAGCTCGGGAACCAGCCTGCATAGCTGGTAGAGCGTGGATAGTCGCTCCAATCAGTGAGTTACTTGTAGGGACCTATGAATGCACTGCACTCATATGGGATTCTCGGCATAGTCGTGACGCGCTGATTGGACGTATTCCACGCCCATGGAGGTCGTGTGAGTTAAGCTTTACTGCAGGTATCGCACGTTAAACTGCTCTTCTCTTGTTTCTAAATATGTATGGGATATGATGAGAAAAAGATACTACAAAGATTAGAGGAACCGGCAACAAATCTGCAGCAATTGGAAGCAGTATTGCATCGAATATGATGACAAATTCCTCAGGCTTCAATTAGAGCTTGTATCAAAATGCGTACATATTTACAAAAAATCATCCGAAATCGAAGCGGAAGATTCGTAAAATCCGACTAAAAATCTCCCCGTAATGCGCATCGAGTAATGCTAATGCTGGCTAATTAAATAAAATGCATAAGTAAGTTCGACTTGTAGAGATACATTGTATCTCTTCTTTGAAAGAAATCATACAAAGCTTAATTTTTTTTAATTTATAAGAGAAACGTCTATACTCTATAATGATTATCATAATATTTACAAAAAAAAAATTACTCTACCCCGTAGATTGCGTCAAACTATCAAAATTTTTATTAAAAAAGAACAGCTAGGTAGGAGTAAGAATAGATTCGAAATCCATTGAAAGATTTGTAAAGTACAGACATCATCTTTAAAAATTAAAAAGAAAACTTTTAAATGCGATCGTTTTTCGCGGAGTTACGCTTATTTGGATTTATGTGAAATTTTAATATAAATTTACCTATGCTATAATCTTGACGAGTGTAGTAGAAAAAAGGCATCATTTTTCAAACGTTCTGTTAATAATTTTTCAACTAAGGAGCGCCAGTTAAAACTTGTTGGGGGTTATTCAGAGTATATAACATATGTCAAAGTCAAGGCCGTCGGCGTTCCCTCCTTTATGCAAACTTACCATTTATTTTATCTTCATTTATACATCCACAATTTCATAATTATTTTATTAGGTGATTGCCGCAGAAGGTGAACAGAAGGCCAGCAGGGCTCTGCGGGAAGCATCGGAAGTTATCGGCGATTCACCGGCTGCTTTGCAACTCCGTTATTTGCAGGTAATATAAATACTGGGTGCTGTCTACTTCGCACTATAAATGCTTTAAAGCACTTCACTACAGTGTAATCGGAAGAAAGAATTTTACTAATGGTTAATGAAAGAATGCTTTGAAGCATTGGTATCGTCCAAGGTGAATCTTACAGGAACGTTTCATAATCGAAGGGATTGGCCAGAACCGATTTGATTCTCCATGATATATGTTGTTAAACACAAAAATCTAAGAGACAAGTTTTTTTTATACATGCGCTAACTATTTAAAGGATGAAAAAAACAATTTTTTTTTAAACTGAATGGTCGGAAGTATTATACAAAAGATAGAAAGAAATTTTTTAAATAAAAGTTGTACGGTTTTAAAAAACTTTAAAGTTGCAAAGAACAAAATTTTTTAATTTTTTTTTAAAAGATGCTGTCATCACCTTCAGTTTTTAAATTTTTTAACTTTTTTTTACCAAATTAAAGATTTTTTTTCCAAATTCAATGTATAATAAAATTATATTACAACATATCATTTTCGAGAATTAATTATGAACGCTTTCATATACACGCTATTTGTGCTCATAAGCGTAAATAATTATCATCGAAACATATTATATGGTCGTCCGGAAAGTTCGTGCGTATTTTCCGCACGGACTTTCCGGACGACCCAATATATAAGATAATAATTTTTAAATGTATTTATTATA